CTTACATGCAGTATTAACATTTAATGATATAGGCTCAATACAATCACCTTGAAACTTAGATTTATATCCTCTACTTATAAGTCAAGACTTAAAAGTGGCCGTTCGATTTCATATTCCCTTTGTCCGTTCGTTCAAAAGACTATTTATTCACTTGGGGTATCTGCCTGTATGAAATATTCCACACAGAATGTACACTAAATATAGTAGGAATATTGCATTGAATTCCTACCAGAAAAGAGTGATATTCTAGTCGGACAGTAGTAGGAATCCACACGGAAAATAGCCGAAATATTTAAATTAGCAGGAATTTTTTAGTAGGAATATTGTATATTCCTACCAGGAATATTTAAATTAGCAGGAATAATTTGGCGGGAAAACAAAATTCCTACTAGAAAACCTGGCAGGAATTTTTCAAAATTCCACATAGAAAAAAATATTTTCTAGTAGGAATCTAAAAATATACAAAATGTAAGTGTATATTCACAAATACACAACTGGGTCAATCATTTAAGTTTGAATCTCAACAACAAAAAACAAAGGAAATGCATGGAATATATTAATTTAAAAAAAGTTGACTTTTGAAATATATGAGGAAGCTGTGATGTATCCAAACATATATGTAGATGGGCAAAAATATTGATTCTAAGATGAAATTAAAGAGTTATGAAAAATTAACAAGTAAAATTATGCACTATTGTTGAATTTACTGATTACTAAATATATTGCCAAACAGATCAAAAATTTCATCTTTAAAGTATCAAATTTACCTTCAATCTACATGAGCCATATTTTCTCATATTTCAATATTGTAGTTGTTTAACCCTTGCAGCATATTGTGTTCCAACACATCTTTTCATTCTTCTACCCTCCAACTTTTGAATTTGTGAACTGGAACTTGTTTGCATTTAACACAGCAAAATTTGTGTCATTAGCAAACAAGAATCCAGTTTAAGATAATTAAAAAGATTCCATGTAGAAAGATTTTTTAGTAGGAATAAATTAATTCTGGTAGGAATCTTGTAGTAGGAAAATGAATAATCTAATCATATTTTCTGTCCAAATTCCCACTTAAGATTTTCAAAACAGAAAAAAATCCATACAGACTTTTAAAATTCCAGCTAAATGGTAGGATTTTGCAAGTGGAGAAAATAAAAAATCCAGTCAGAATTTTGTTCATTTTCCATGTCCGCCTACTTTCTATATAGAATCTTTGATTCTAGGTGGATTCCAACTACATTCCTACCAGTGTCTAGGTGGAATCCTACTACTTATTTCGTACGGGCGTGTACCAAATTACCTTCTGCGGTTGTCGTCAGTAGAAACCTCTCATTTGATTTGAAAATGACCTTCGTGAAAAACACTACGGGTGTCTTGCAAGAAGCAGGACCTGCTTACCCTTCCGGAGCACCGGAGGTCGTCACATTTTTTTCGGGGTCCATGTTTTTCATCTGTATTTAGTTTTCAATGTTGAATTTTTTTGTATGTCCTTTTGTGTCTTATCTGTTCCCGGGTTTGGCATGTGTCCATTGATTGCCCTTCTATTGATTAACGCTTCGGACGGTTGTCGACCCTTCCTGATCTTCCCGTTTTATAAAATTTATTTTATATTTGAAAATAGCAAGCAGCAAATTACGAAACTCGCTAGAATTTTACTACTGTTTCATAAAAATCTGGTATAGTAAGAAACAGATAGGGTATTTTTCATGTTCAAAGCAGTCACTCATATGCCCGGAGCTTCCGGGGGATTCGCTTCCCTGTACCACCGTCTAGGGTGCTGCCCTGGATCCCCGACTAGTGTGCTACCCTGGACCAGCTGGGGACTTTGAGCGGTCCATAGCCCCTGCCTCCCTTGCTGAATCACTATAAAGTCCACAAGTATTCACAAAATAGGAGTTTGGGCATGGCATGAAGGAATGATGTCAATTTCATAAGCATAGCATAATTGTAAAATGCCTGAAAAAATTATCAATTTCTGCATTAAATAGTAAAAAAAAAATTTTTGCCTCGCTTCGCTCTGCGAAGTTAGCTTCACTCCGAGACACTTGGGAATGACTAGGAAGCTTGCGCAGAACCTCATTACATGCTCTTATCAATATTTATTACAATAAATTAAAAGACATTGTGATATATGTAGGAGAAAAGGCTTTGAAGAGATGTAGAGAAGCTGTAATAACACCCTTTAGTTTTTACAGACATATTTTTTCTGTGATAACATGGGTGTGTTATGCATGATTGGCAAACTATTGGCTGTTATATCTTTCTAAAGTTTAATATACATAAAGAAAATTATAATATCAATAGAACTAGTGCACAATTTAACAAAATTAAGGATGTATAATGCCCCTTTGAAACATGTAACATACATATGTTATTACAGATTTTTGATTTTTTTCGCCCTCAATAACAAATGTATGTTATTTTTCTCTAATAACTTATTTAAGTTAGACCCTTGACTGTAGATTCTCGATCAGCTGTATTGGTCCTCGACTCTTTGAGTCTCGGGTCCAATACAGCTAACCTCGAATCTATAACAAGGCCAATACAGAAACAGCCAGTTAATAACACTATAATATGATAGTACCAATATGATTGTTCATGAAAAGTGTCAACAAAGGGACGTAACTTGTTAATTACTGTTGGAACCACTTCGTCAGAAAATTCGACACATCGAAGTGGCACATTTGCGTATTACAGCGTATTAAGTGGCACAAATTTGACACGGGCCGTTTTATAAAAAGCCTCATCACATATTTTAAATTCAGCATAGGTTCCCCAGAAGTTAAGAAAGAAATTTCAACTGATGTGTTGAAAAAACTTGACGCGAACGAGTGACGACCTTTGATTTGAAGGCTTTGTATTTTAAATCAGTACGTTTAATCAAAACAATTTTTATGTGAGAACTTCTAAAAAGTATACACAATGGGCATTTGTAACATACAGCATGCTTTGATTTCATTTGATATGACTTTTTGGAGGAAACAGAGTCGTTTCAGTTGAGGAAAAAATGACCCAAAAAATGCCCAAATATGGTAGTCACATGACTTCCATTGTTGCTTTAAGAAATGGGGTCAAACCGGGGTCAGCTTTCCGACTGAATCATTCATGATATAAAGGATATGCCTACTTATTACTTGCTTCTTTAACATGTTTAATTTATGTATACACCAGTCAGGGGTACTACTTATACAAGTAATCTTTATTTACTTGAAGAAGTAAATAAAATAAACTTATATAAGTTAATTATAATGTTTGAATAATCTCCCCTTAATTTTCTAAAAAATTTACTTGTATAAGTAAATTTATTTTACAATCCCACAAAAATTCTCAAGTTTTGAGATGTAAAAACATGCCTTTAACAATTTTTCTCAGGTTAGCTCATAATTTTTTATTAGAGTTCAATGTTTCATCTCATTAATTCAACAAAGAAACTGATTGCGCAAAGATCTTAAGTATTTCCGCAAGGCCTTCAAAAATTGCCCCTTGGGGGCTTGTAAATGAGCAGACTGTTCTGAAGATAACAGACAAATGAGATTTTCATTGTCCATGAAATTACACTTAAATGATTAGTAAAGACATCTGCAAAGGACAGACAATCAAAAATTCTATTAGAGCAAAGAAGTCCTAAGAATTCAAGAAAAGAAGATAGGATGACTTTTTTACTTGTATAAGTAAAAAAATCTGAATGTCTAAGGGACATAACTAAGCCCAATTTTTTTTTACCTATACAAGTAAATAAAATACACTTGTATAAGTATCCTACAAATTTAATTATATAAGTATATTAATATTTACTTCTTCAAGTAAATAAAAATTACTTGTACAACTAGTACCCCTGACTGTACACTCAAGCTTTATATTCAGTCGTTTTAGATATATTTGAAAATTTTGGTTTCAGTTTTGCATTTTTCTAAAAAAATATTTTCATACACGAGTTTTCACATAGATTTTTTTCAAATTCATTAAATTTTTATTCTTTTAATGTGCATTTACATTTTATCATAATGTTTCTAATTTTTATCATGTTTTCTTTTACAATTTTTTTCCTTCAGTGTGCATCTAATTTGCAATGTTTATAATGTATTATTATCTAATAAATACAAGTTACAAATATTATTTGCCTTTCTCTTCACTGAATTCACAAAATCCCCAAATTACCGATAATTCCCGTGTATATTTCACGTTTCATTCCAGATCTTATGACATTTTATTGTAAAACTGGATGTGGGGACACGTAGCCTACGAATGCCAATTGACTACACGTCCCCACATGCGGGGACATGCAGACACTGCCTATTCGTAAAGACTTCAAAAATTTCATAAATCTTGTGTAAAATGATGGTGGGCATGGATAACATAAACAAGCTCCAATGGAAGTTGGTCATGATACTATTTGACTTCAATTTTTAAAACAGAATAATAAAGTACTAATACCACACATAACTGTTCAGTCCAGGTTTTTATTATCATGATTATAAAAAGTGGTAAATTTAGAAAATGTTAGTATTGTCGCCTATGGCAGAATAAATACTACCGTTTTCCCTATATACATCTGTGTCTGTTACTAGTGTATGCACAATGATGCAGCACTCACTACTGTACATTTATCAAAGAAACAAAGTCGTTTTTTTTTAACTCCGCTTATTATTTTTGTAGACTGTTTTCATGGTTTTAGACATTGTTATGGGACTACTTCTACTTTTCAACATTTAAAAAATCCTATTAAACTTCCAGACTGAAAGAAAATTTTGACAGAATAATGAAATTCCAAACTGAAATTTTGGAAAATTGTAGAAAATTCAGAATTTTTACCAGAAACATAAAAAATAACCAATCACTCTAAATCACCAGCAATCAGTCCAAATCACTAGCAATCACTCTAAATTACCAGCAATCACTCTAAATTACCAGCAATCACTCTGTTTCACAGTGAATCAGTGAACACCGGTATGAGTGATGTCGAACTGAATCACCCTGTGTGTACTGTATTTTGTCTCTTCCAGACCAACACAGACTCCCTTGGTAGAGAACTACTTAGACGCCGAGATCAGAACGGCTACTATGATGATACTGTTACAGACAGTCCAACACAATATGTGGAGGATACCACGCTGAGTGGATCAGCTGAGGGTGTGGATGATCCTGCAAAGGAAGAGGTATTATTGCTACTTTTTATCTCGCCTAATGATGAAGTACGTACGCCATAAAGCAAGACATAGATATGCATTTTTTTGGCGGCATCAACAACTTATTAAACTTGGATTAAGTCACTCAGTAATAGTGGAACCACTGATGATAAATCAATAACATTTGGTATGCAGTTGTATTAGCATTGGGCACATCTCGTTTCCATGAAGATTATTTTACCCTGCCCCCAGCTCAGCCATGGTTGATTAACTTTAAATCAATTTCAAGATTTAAAGTTTAAGTTTAAACGGAACCTGGACTAGTGGTTAGTCAATGATATTTAGTATGCAGTGTTAAAGCATTGGCACATTTTATTTCTATGGACATGATGGAGATTATTTTATTGGTGCAGATTTGTACCAAATCAGTCATGAATGGTTCATTGACCTTGAATATTAGCATAATTTATATGTTAAAGTATTGCTATTTTAATTTCAACATTTGCAGTTTTACTATATTTATATATTAAATTTATTTGTATGAGTTTTAGAAACAGGACGAAATGCGAGGCTAGACAAGATTTTGTCCTGTTTCGTAGCGAGTACAAATAAATTTGATATTTTCCGACTATGTACATGTATATATATTGTTATATCCTGAAATTTACACCTAACACTTGAAACTTTAGTTGTTAAAATCTAAATCATTGTCTCTAATTTTTCAAAGAAATCGTCATAGTTTAAATGCGGATTGAGAAGAGGACCCCAAGATGAACTGTTACGCAAAAAGAAATATCCACATTAGCGCTTGCTCAACATGGAAGCAGGGTAGCAGGAGACTATATTTGTACAAGTGCAAATAAAGCAAAAATTTATTTGTGTATCTGTTATTTGTACAATAGTTGGGTGATCGCAGGATAAATCTAAATACCAAAAAGGTGAGAGAGAGATCTATGTTAACAGTTTATTAAATTTAGTTTTACAATTTCAGGAAAAGTTGGAAGAAGATACCAGTAATGGTGGTGAACTTCTGGACCATAAGGTACAGTACAGCCAAGGGAGTTCAATTAAAAATCACTTCATCTTGGTGAATTTTCACAGTGATTACTGGTGACAAATTTCAATTCAATTTAAAATAGCTATGCATAATCAATAGAAAGTAGATCACAAGGTTCTTAATCTGTGTTAAAACTTCAGATCACCAGCAATCACACTTATATAAAAAAGAAGATGTGGTATGATTGCCAATGAGACAACTCTCCACAAGAGACCAAATGACACAGAAATTAACAACTATAGGTCACTCACTGTACGGCCTTCAACAATGAGCAAAGCCCACACCTCATGTTAGGGATGACACACTGTGGGATATATGAGGGTCTGGATTGGGGGGGTGGGGGCTCATTTCTTTATTTTCTCTATTCCTTATTCATTTAACCTGTTATTCTATATTCTTTAATGCCTTTTCATATTTTTCATTATTCTTTATTTTGCCCATTTTTCTCTATTCTTTATTTTTTTTTTTTGCCTATTTTTCTCTATCTTTTTTGTATGTCTATTTTTGTCTATTCTTTATATTTTCCACCTTTATACTATAATGACTAATTTTGTGAAATAGCAAGAATGTTAAAATTTGTACAATATATATAGCAAGAAAATGAAGTTATATTAAAAAAAAAAGTAACTTTTTATTTTAATTTGATTATCATATTCTTAGTTTAGAATATCGACGAAAATTAAACATTTTTTATTTGATTATATTGTTAACTTTTAGTCTGTTGACAAAGATTCAATATTAGTGTGTGAGAATTTCAAATTTGTATAAAACCTAGAAAAGATGCAAATATTAGAAAAAAGAAATTAGTTCATTTAATTATATTTTAAACTTTTAGAATGTTGATGCAGATTTAACATTAGCATATGAGAATTACAAATTTGTATAATAGCAAGAAAAAATATTACTAAATAGAAATTTAGATTTTAGTTCAATTATATTTTAAATTTTTAGAATGTTGACAAAGATTCAACATTAGCCAAGTTGATATCATCAATGGACGTTATAGTTCACGGACAAGACCAGAAGGTTAGTTAATCTAAAAAAGTTTCTAAACCATGCCTTTTAAATTAGGCCACACTTAAAAATATTTTTATTTGCCCAAACCCTACCCAAAGGTAGAGACAGTGGGTAGGTAGGTAGGCATTTTATTTATTTTTTCGGCAAAGAGAAATTGAAGCATCAGATGTTTTTTAATCAAGTCTTCATGCCTATCTGATTAAAAATCAAAGTGCTTGTAAGCACTGAAGGGTAAAGATTGCTTTAATTTAACAGTGGGAAGTAAAATTAAATATTGCATTGTTGTAGTTGATTCAAAGGAAGATAACTCTGATGTTTAAAGATGACTTTAACAATGACATCATTGATATTTTTAGAACAGATATTAGATTCCTGCGCCTTGCAAAAGTTCAGTAATTTTCTTGACAAGTATAACATTATTTTGTGACTTGAATATCTGAGCATTTATTTCATTGATAAATTACTGGAAATGTTCATGGATATATGCATAGAATTTTATGATCAATGCACTATATTTGTGTATCTCAAAGGTAGTGATAAACCTTGGAAGATTTTGGTATCAAGTCAGTCCCATAGGGTTTTGATCGCATGAAATGCAATCTTTACCCAAAAAACATTTGAACATCAGGACAATAAAATAATTTGAATAGGCAGCTATTTTTTGGGCAGGTAGGGTTAAGGTGGTACCCAACACCTTGACTAATATTAATTTGGCTCGTTTAATTTTCATAAAATTTTGACAAAATGTTTACTTTGACCCTTTGACAAAAATATAAAAATTTCAAAAAATTTGAACCAACCACTTTATCAGAAAAATTTCTTTGGTTATATAGCAGTTTGACAAACACTAATTTTGATCATTGAGAAGCTTAATATTTCCTAAACAATACAACGTAATTAAAACGTTTAGCTGAATTTTACAGAGTTATCTCCCTGTAGTGTTAGGTACCACCTTAAGGCAAAACAAACATATTCTTTTTTTATGGCATTATTTATAGAAAATATCTGATTTTGGTTCAGAAATATTACATGATCACAAGATTAATTGATTGGATATTGGTGTTGAATGCCACTTTCATCCCTCCTGGCTATATAACATGGTGGCCAGTTTTTATTAGTAGATGAATGTGAAGTACATTGAGAGAACTGACCTATGGCTCGATAACTGACAATCCTAGCTAGTCAAATATAAAATTGAAGTATTTGCTACCATAAACTCACCAATTGATGCCATTGGAGTTAAAAATACAATACTGCTATCTTCATTCTAATGAAACTTACACATGTTACAGAAAACACCATCAAATCCTACAGAAAACACTATCAAATCCTACAGAAAACACTATATCAAATCCTACAGAAAACACTATCAAATCCTACAGAAAACACCATCAAATCCTACAGAAAACACTATCAAATCCTACAGAAAACACCATCAAATCCTACAGAAAACACTATCAAATCCTACAGAAAACACCATCAAATCCTACAGAAAACACCATCAAATCCTACAGAAAACACTATCAAATCCTACAGAAAACACTATCAAATCCTACATTTAAAATTTGTCATACAAAAAGAAAAAAAAAGATATGTTTTTGTGGTTTAACTTCACCCCGGAAACCCACAAAAACTTATATCCAACAAGTTAAAATGAATCCATAGTAGCGTGAATGTATGTGGGAGGGTAGGAAGGGACTTTCAAAATATCCCTACAACCAAGAACCATTTTTTAGATAATTTTGCATAATGGTAATAGACGGATACTGAAAAAAGACCCATGACCCACATTCAATAATTAAACTTCCCTTCCTACCCTCCCACATACATTTTAATGGAATAGCCCTTAACAATCTTATGTATTAAGTATTTATCCAGAAAGCATGGAAACCTGTTTATGTATATCCTATATTTTCAAATTAAAATTTTATTTTTCTTCTTTTTTTTCTTAGCCAATGGGATTGCATCCAGAATCAGACCGGAAACAAAAAGAAGATTCGTTAGATCAACACAAATATACACCTGAACAGTTGAAGGTGAAAGCTGTGGGACTAGAAAATGACAATGTAAGATATTGGGTTTGAATTATTTTATTTTTCAATACCTAGAATTTGGTGATCTTTTGGTAGAAAAAAATTCAATATAGTGTGGTTTGAGCCTTTGAGGCAGGGCTTTTATCTGAGTTTTTTGAAATTTCATTTACATTAAAGTGGGACAAGTTGTCTTCTGTTCATTCCAAAGATTGTAAAAAAAAGAAATAAAAAGAAAAGTAAATTAACAGTTTCTAGATATAAGTACTAAATATATATTTACAAATTTTAAGAGATGAATTCAATGAACTTGTAGAAATCTGCACATTTAAATGAAGTAGTGTAGTTCATTGTATTAGGCCAATTAAAATTAATTGATAGATTTTCATCCCCGCCGCCCCTCTGAAATGGTCCCGCCCCGATTTTTTTTATTTTAAATAATTTACAATTTCCGGAATTTGTTCATTTCCTTTACCGGTAATCGTCAATAATTTTGTTTCATTCAAAACTTCCTGTTTCAAATTTCGGTAATAATAATCAACCAAACTTGCAAAATGATTAAGTCGACATATTCTGCTGCTCTATGATGACACCATATGATCGTCTACTGAGAATAGAGATTAATTATGAGAAGGGCGTGAAATATTCGGGTTACCAGTAATACGCGGTGTCCAAGAATGCAAATCGCGGTATTTCACAAATTTCTGTGATTAGAAAACCGTGGATTTTTTGTATTTATACAATGACTTTGTCTCGGGAAATTTGGACTGTGAATGATATCCAAAGCGCAAGAATCGTGGAACACATTGGTACAAAAAACATGACTGGATTAAAGAAATTGACACAAGCACGAAGTTGTTAGATTTATGACCGTATATTGTGTTCAAAAAGTCGACAAAGCCCTTAAAATTTACACATGGCTGTCTTTTTTTGTTGACAAACAGCAAACACCCTCTGTCCCTATACCCTCAGTAGAGTCATTAAACAATTTCTTTTTTGTTAAGTTCATGTTTTACATTGTAATATTATATTTGCATATTGAATAAGCACCAACCCTATTTTTTTCAACACTGTTTTAGTTTTCATTTTATTCTCAGACTGTACTCATAATACTTGTGTTGCATACCAATGCATTTGCTTCATTTTATGGGGACTACAAACCGTAGCATGGAAAGCAAAATAAATTTGGTGTAGGCAGTCCAACTGAAGAGAGCATTTATCCACGTTGTTGTTGTATACTATTAATAGGTTTCTAAAGCGGCAATTGCATGTAGAACAGTGGTTGCCAATCAGAGATATTTATTTAAGATCTTAAAAAAAATGTACGATTCTTTATACATGTATATACATGATATTAGCTTATTATTACACTTGCATGTATGAAGAACACATCAGAGTACTAGTGTTTCATATGAAATAAAATTTTAAAAATAAAATCCTCCCACCCGCCCCATTTTTTCAAAAATCTGGATGAAAATCTACTAATTAAATTTAGTTGGCCTTATAAAGATTCTTTTTTTTCACAACTACAGAAAAATTTTTGCTTGATTTAATTGTTTCATACATAAAAGGGGAGATAACTCAAATAATCTTATATAAATAAATGTTCAGTAAATTCAGTAAATTTTACAAAATTTACGGAATAATTTAAGATTTTGAACCTTTGAAATTTACTACATACTGCACCAATTTGTCATGGAAACTATTCTGAAACCACTCAACAGAATTTCACGAAATTTTGTAATTAATGAGATCTACAAAATTTTTATTAATTGACTTTGTTTTGTAAGAGTTATGAGTCTTTGAACTAAGGAATCTGGTGAGAATTTGTGTGCCCAGTAACATTTTGTGGGGTGTGAGGTGTGTGAGCCACTCCGTGCTCACAAAGGTTCTTTAACTTTTGCTGGAATTCAGGATAGTAACTTATTGGGACACATAGTTAATTATTTAATGTATTTTTTTTCGGGATCCAGGAAGGAATGCTTCATTTTTTCAGGAATTTAGAAATCAGTGGTTATTTTCCCCAGAATTTAGGATAGCACCACCTCCCTCTACCAACCCCTCCCCCTATAATTTAGCAAAATGCCATATAACATACTGGCATATACCTGTGCTAGGGGCCATCTTAAACTTGCAGTGAGGTGAGAGTTTTTTGCTCCAACCTCTCCATCCAAGTCACAATTTGTAAAAGTAAACCATTATAGGTCAAAGTACAGCCTTCATCACGGAGCCTTGGCTCACACTGAACAGCAAGCTATAAAGGGCCACAAAAATGACTAGTGTAAAACCATTCAAAAAAAAAAACGAGAAATGAGAAACACTTATGAACCACATAAACAAACGACAACTTCTGAACATCAGGTTCCTGACTTAGGACAGGTGCAAACAAATGCAGCTGGTTTAAATGTTTTAATAGGTACCAACCTTCACCCTTACCTGAAACAAAAGTGTAACATCACAACATAGAAAGCCTTTCTACACTTGAGGATGTGAGTTTGAATCCTGAACGTGGCAGGTGTGTTTAATAGACTCCAATTTTAATTGAATTACTAAGGATTGTCAGTTTCCAACTCGATGATCCTCTCCTGTGACTCTGGCTTCCTCCAACAATAAAAACTGGCCTCTACAAAATAGCTCACAGTGCTGAAAGTGGTATTAGACACCAATCAATCATGGAATCTAAGTTGTATTGAATTGTTTTTTTTTTTTAGAACTTCAAGAGAAATTTTGAGACTGGTAGTAGTAGACTATGGGAGAACGGCATTGTACCATATACACTGGTTGGTAATTTGTGTAAGTATTGTAATGAATGTCGTTTGGGTAGTCTCCCTTTAATAGTTTCAAATTAGTTGTACTAGCCACTACACGTCCCATGAGGTGTCGACACAGACCCCCTCCTGTTACATCTACATAATTTCCTGATAACTGTTCATACCCAATAGGTGTTTTATACCAAAACCGGTTTTTAAAGCCATTGCTTTAATGCTATGGCGTATAGTCCTTTTTGTGACCCAGATCAAGCGAAAGATTTTTGAGCAATTATTCCATGTCTGTTATTCTAAAAATCCTATGTATGATTTCTAATGACATACATTAATTAAAACAGTTGAAAAACAACAGTGGGTTTCAGAGCTCCAGATAAGCTGCGTATTTGCGTGATCACACAATACAAACAATTGAAAACCCAATGCAATTGACGATTGCAGCATTCAAAAACCCAATTCATGCAAAGGAAAACCCAATAAACATGATAAATGTCAAAACCATGCGTTCTCAACCCTTATAGTCGTATTCGTGTGCGTTATTTTCCCTAATCTATATATTATCGTTGGGTAAATATATTTTTGTAATATGGATAATTGGAAATCTCCTTTCGTTCTAAAAATAGAGCGTTACATTAAATAGTTGATCTGGGTCCCTGTTGGAATTGTCCGTTGATCAAAAAGGTAAACGTGCCGATGTAAACATATTTCGATCTTCCTCTGCATTTATCCAATTAGTGTAAGTGATCATAATTATTTTTGTATTGCTCGGGATTTATGTCAATGAATGAATTAAAACGAAAGTAAATTTCCAGTAACAATATTGAATAGAAGCATGTTTTCATATGTTCAGCTTCTTTTTGATAGCTGAGGGATAATTATGATAACACGACTCAGCTAGTGTTGTCAGGAAGCGTTCCTCGGATGCACTGGTTCATGCATTGCGCGTCCAGACAGAAAAACATGCGTCTAGGGCGAGTATACGCGCCTTAACGAGAACATTGTTACTAGTATGACAAAAACGGGTTTCGTCTCAGTTGTGCAAGAATTAAATCAGTTGGAACAGAGAAATTAAGGCCAAATCAATTATAAAGTTGAAAAGCATTAGAAACCAAAAGTTCTAATAAGGGACAACTAATGACCAGATAATTTTATGTAAATACAATTAAACAAAAATATTCAAGTATTTTTTAGTTTTAAAAGAGTTTTTTTTTCATTTCTGTTGATGAGTGAACACACATATTTGTTTTGACGTATTGTAGCTTGCCACTTTCTTTGTTTTTGACCTAATTGTTCTTATGCCAATAAGACAACTATAGATAGTTATTGGCAAGTGTAGTACAACATTGTCATTTATTTATTTGGGTCTCATTCATTAATCCACCCCATGGTCACCAAGGTTTTAAGGTCTTAATCCAACTTGGAACTATTTATTATTTTAAAAAAAAGTAGGTCTGATGAACAGTTGATAGGTCTGGCAAAAATGTCATACAGGATCCAATGTTCACAAGAACTACATAAAAATCTAAAAAACCTAGCCACACCTACTCAAATAAACCAAAGGGTGATCTAATGTGCTCTAGGAAGGCAATTAGTTAAATGCCATATAAGTGACCGTGCATCAGTTTATATAAATTAAGAGAAAATACAAAACTGGCAGAACAACTAAAATAAACCAGTTACAAATTAAACGAACAATTGCTCATCAGGGTATAAACCAAATAAAACAGCCATGACATATATAATGAAAGAAATATATTTACAGTGGATGAACATCTTGGTTTGATATAATTTTACTATATAACAAGCCTAAATTCAATATCTTGATGATGACAAAACCCAATACATTAAGGAGCTTGGTGGTGAAAAACCCAATTTGATATTTGCTTGAGGGGTGAATTGGAATTAATAATGCAATTGAAAACACTCTTTCACTCAATTACATAAAAAATGGTGGGTAAAAACCCCAATTTATGAATTCTTATCTGGAGCTCTGTGGGTTTGTGAAGTTTCAACATATGTTCTTGTAGAAGTATTTTGGTATGTAAGGGGACTTAACTGTTTGACTATCAAAGAATGTAGAACTTGGAGTGAATGTAACACAATATGTGAAATAACAATAATTACCAAGGTGTATTCAAATATAAATTAACTAATACGAGTAAAAGTATCCTGCTGGATCAACACTTGTCAAGTTGCTTTTTGAAAAATTAAGGGGTGAATTAGTGAAAGTACCATTATTGGCATACCCAGATTTGAATAAACCATATGTGCTTTACACGGATGCTAATGATAGTTGTGTAGGTGCTTGTTTAAAGCAGTTACAAAAAAGTCCAATCGAGGGCGAAAAAGAAGTCGAAAGACCAATTTACTTTCTATCTCATAAATTGAGTGATACGCAAACACGTTGGTCAACCATTGAAAAAGAAGCCTTTGCGATTCATTATGTGTTACAAAAATTGAATCATTATTTGTATAATGCTGAATTTGTGATCAAAACAGATCATAAACCTTTGAAATATATCTTAGAATCACCAATGCAAAATAAGAAAATTCAATTGTGGGCTTTAAACATAACGGGTTATAACTGTACTATATTCAATATATCCCAGGAGTCGGTTTCACAAAAAACTTACGTCTAAGATTGATCGCAAGTATACTGAATTGTTCATGACTTACGATCAATCTTAGTCGTAAGTTTTTTTGTGAAACCGACTCCAGGGCCCCAAAATGTTTGTGCAGATTTTATGTCCAGATTACCATACGAAACAAAAATCCGGATCCGTATCCAGACATAAGTGATAACACTTACGAAATTAATGTTATTAATTCAAACAGATTTAATTTTAGTGATTATGCAACATGCGCAAATAACGATAAATTAGTTGAGGATATTCCAGAAAAAGAAAATTTTCAATTTGAAGAATTTGATATGGCCATCGAACAGGTAAAGGACAAAACATTACGTGATTTAAAGGAACAACTTGAAAGCGATAAAGTACCTGAGGCAGTACAAAACAAGTACATCATAATAAATGACATACTTTATTACATCTCCAATGTAGAAAATGATCCAGTTATAAGGTTATACATACCTTCTCATATCAAACAAGCAGTTGTAGAACAATATCATGATAAGAATGGGCACATGGGCATTGATAAAACATTTGATTCCATTCTGCAAAAATATTTTTGGCCAATATGTTTAAGGAATTGTATAATTATGTCACAACTTGTGTACCTTGTCAATCACGCAATTTACAAAAGGTTAGAGCGCCAATTCAGGAAACCAAGATTCCAACTTACCCTTTTTGTCATGAATGGGTAGATTTAACCTGGTTTTATGGCTAGTCAAACCTCCCGCTTATATGGCAATGTTAAAAAAGGTGGACGAAAGATACCAGAGGGACAGTCAAACTCATAGATCGAAAAAAACAAATTGACAACGCCATGGCTAAAAATAAAAAGACACAAGACAAATAATAGTACAGATGACACACCATAGAAAACTAAAGACTAAGCAACACGAACCCCACCAAAAACTGGGGGTGATCTCAGGTGCTCCGGAAGGGTAAGTAGATCCTGCTCCACATGTGGCACCCGTTGTGTTGCTTATGTTATTACAAATCCGGTAAATAGTCTAATTCGGTAGGTCACATTCGTGAAAAGGGAAGGGTATTGTAGTTACGACATAAGGAACATATCCGATATCATCTGTGAAACGGTTATTCCATAACGGTCAACCAACTCGTGATGGCGTCCGTAAAATTTACGAAGGGATGATTTCAACTTCACCATTTGGAACTCTTGGTTTAATAGCTTCCTTGTGAGCAGCAATCCACTGGACAGTATCCAACCACCATGTCAGGAAACAGGTACATTATAGGATTTATCGATTTGTACTCTTGGTGGCCAGAAGCTTTTAGCACTGACAATGTAGCACATCTTTTAATTGAAGAAATAACTTCATGGCATTCTGGGATTCAAATTCTAACAAGTGATAACGGAGGGGAAAACTGTTGTAAGGCAATGGAAGAAGTTTGTAAGGAACTAAATATTAAGCGCATTAAAACTTCCTTCTATCACCCTCAGGGTAATGCTAAAATAGAAAGATTTCATATGACATTACATGACGTTTTGTCAAAATTAATAGAAGATCATTCCACAACTTGGGATTTATACTTGAACCAAGCTTTAGCAGCAATTAGATTCAATATCAATGAGTCAACGCAACTTTCACCTTTTTATGCATTATATAACAGGGATCCAGTTTTACCTTTAGATAATATTCTTACAGCCTAGGCGAAAATACAATGGGGAGGAATATCATAAAATTGCTTTACAACAACAACATAAATCATTTATGTTGGTTCATAAAACTATGAAAAAATCTAAACAAAGACAAGCTAAGTATGCGAACAAATATAGCAAAGATATAAAGTTTGAGGTAGGAAATCCAGTGTTTTATAAAAATCATAGAAAAGCAAGCAAACTTTCAAAAAAATGGACTCCGTACTATAGGATTATCGAACAAACTTCACCAATTAGTTTTATTTAAAAAAATCAGTTAGATGGGACAATCACAAAGGCTCATGCAGAACAAATTCGCTTAGCTAAATTAGATTGGGAAATTCCTAATAACAATCAAGGTTAAGCATTACGCAAAGCTGCGTATGTAGTTCCCGTCGAGTCACAATCAGAAGACTCCTCTGGAGATGATAGTGTAGATTCAGATACTCCGTTAAATCAAACTGCAAAAAGATATAAAAAGGAAAGGGAAAATTCTGATGAAGAAGATGATATACCATTAATGGAATTATCTAAAAAATTAAGGGGGAAGAAAATTTTTTCAGAACAAGATACTGTCGATAACAGTGAAATAGAAAGTGATGATCAAATGATAAAGGAAGAAGTAGAAAATTCATCTACTGATTCAGAAGTTTCTGACATTGAGGATAAAATGTCTAGCAGTCACTCTTCATCTGTTAAATCTGAAATTTACGACATGGAAGATAACATGTCCGTTAATAG